TGTATAAAACATCAGTATTTAAAAAAATTATTATTATTTTACTAGGAAATGGGAGCTGTTTCTTATACGAAAAGCTTTAGCAAACGCAATGTAAAACCGCAATATCCGTGTCTTAAAATATTATTATTCCTAATCATGATGATGGATGATGATGATAATTCATATAAACATATTAATACTAATATTATTATACTAGAAAGTATTCTAAAATATTATTATTATTAATAATAATTATTATTATATTACTAGCCAATGGCGATTGTTTCTGACTCACAGAGCTTTAGCAGACCCAATGTCAGCCAGTTTGGGTTTAGATCTACTTTAGACGTGTCTCTAATATATTGTTGGGCAGCAGTTTTGTATTTTATAATGAAGTGGCCGATCTGTAATGAGCTTTGTTTGTATATTTGTATTTATTTTTAGGGTCCTCTGTCTGTATTTTCTGCAAAGCAGAGATGGACGGCCCCGAGGAGAATCCGCCTGACTCTGGAAGATGACGATTTGGGCTTTGTATTAAAGGGCGACTGTCCAGTGCAGATAACGTCGCTCGATCCCCTCTGTCCGGCCGCAGTAAGTGCCTCTATTTTCTTACCCTTCGAGCTCCCCCTCCCAAGCCCTCATATGAAGCATTTAATGAAGGTTTTGTCTAAGGGGGTGACATGGAGATCTTCTCACAATGTGCATTAGAAGCTGCAGCGTGTCAGATGGAGCCGCCTCATTTCCTGGCTGCAGGACCCAGCCTGACTGTCCTTGGCCCCGCCCCTTTCATTTGATATTTGCATAACCCCTCCCAATAGCCAGCCCACTGCATGCATCAGGATATGATGCATGCGGTGCCCCCTCCCACCAGCCATGATCTGCCTGTGATAATAGACAAAAACTTCACCTGTAAGGCTGGAATTCTATAAATCTGGTTTATGTAGATAAATATCACCGAGGAAGGACTGACCCGCGACTTCTCTGGGCAGCACAGGAGAGAAGAACGTCGTCTACGTATCTCGGGACTCTCATCGTGTTTTGTATTGCAGGGCGCAGGTGTGAAGGAAGGCGATTACATCGTCTCAGTGGAAGACCGGGACTGCAAATGGTGCTCCATCAACGAGGTTATGGACATGCTGAGAGGGATCGGGGAAGAAGGGAAGGAGATCAAAGTGATCAGCATGCAGGATCAGACGTCCAGCATGGTACGAGTCTCCCGTTACATCCACCTGCACTACAAAGGCATCAGGAACACAGATTTCCCGGGTTTCCTCTTTGAAATCTGAGCCGGCTTGAATGGAAATGATCGGGGGAGATCACACGGGTGGTCTGCTCTCCGAGATTAGAACCACCACTTCACATACACAATATGGAGAGATGTCTCTAGACTGAAGATACTATTTGCTTGTCCTCAGCACTTATTCTCTTTCTATTATTTTGAGTCAATGAGCTAATATTCAGATTAGGACTTTGACTGTTCTGGGTCTTTCATTGTTCCCCCATCAGTGGCTCAGGTTGGAAGCCGACAGATCGGCATAACAGCCAAGCAAGTAGTATTTTCAGAAGGATCCCATCATTGGCAACACACATATATTGCTTGTGACACGTTGACTCTAAAGAAGCCCTTTATATATAAACTTTCCACTTACTTTAGTGGGAGCTGTTCCATGAATTGTGATACTCCGCTCATTAGCTACCATAGAATAGCTGACACCAAGTCCAGCATGGGAAGTAATGCGTAGGACGCGCTACAAAACGGTCAGGTGTGAATGGGGCCTAAGAGACATTGTTGTTCATAGTTCAGGGACCGGAATGTATTTTTAAGGTTTATCTCCCGAGTTTAGTGTCACTTTAGCTCAGTGGATCAGAGTGATTGAGGAAAAACCACATTATGGCCACTAGATGGCGCTGAGGATCACAGGCAATAAGTATTTATTCGGCGCCATCTAGTGGCCATAATGGAATGGACTTTTAAGGTTTATCTCCTGAGATTAGTGTCACTTTAAAAGTCATCAATGGCTATCCCAGGTTCACAGCCCAATAGATCCCCTTTAAGACCTTGTTGCGGATAAATGATGCACTGATCTCTAACAGACTGCGTTTTCTCCCTTCCATTCCCGCAGCATAACAAAAGCGCCACCTACTCCGCCGGGATGCAGAAGACGTACTCGCTGGTCTGCCTCAACATGGACGACGGCAAAAGCGCCCAGACCCAAAAGGCGACAAAGAAGCTCTCCTTCCTCAGCTGGGGCTTCACGAACCGCAAAAAGGCGGCCAGCACTCTCTGCCTACCGACCGCCAGCGCCGGAAAACCCGACTCCAGCAAACTGTTCCTCTCGCCGTACAACACCTTGTCCAGCGAGAGCGCCATGTACTGATGGCGCCGGCGAAGGGACTCTTTCATTGGAAGGACTCTGAATTACTGTGACGATCCCCGGGAAAGCCGACGCAGCCGTGACCATTCTCGGAACTTATAGACGGTTCTTCTATGTAGGAATAAGCTGCTTCCTGTCCTCATTTAGGAACGGGTCTCCGGACTTTACACGCCATAGAGGCGGGAAAGAACGACGCGGCCTTGAACGTGGCGAATAAAAGGGGATGGAGACGTGTTTTGCTCAGCTCCCTCCCTTCGAGCACTCTTGCCTTTTCCAGCTGCTGCATAGTTGCAGTGGAATGGTAGCTGCTCATGGACCAAGGATGGTGATGATTTGAAGGATTGGGCCTATCGGGAGATTCTTACTATGGATATTCTGTAGAATTTGGAGTGTTATTTAAACCCGGAACTTAAAAAATTGTTACTCTAAAGTGTAAGGGCCGGTCCACATAAGGGCTGGATTCAAGAAGATACCTCCCGGTGTTTTTTGAAGCCTTGAATTTGAAAGGTTCCTCTGTTGCTAAAGGAAGAAAAGTTAAAATGTAGCTAAAGTCAAAATGTTTTCTTTTTTTTTGGATAGAGTCGGGAAGAGTTACATCCTCTGTGGGGTTTTATTTGCTGCCTTAGTCCCCAAGGGCGGAAGATTTATTCCCTCCTTTTTGATTAGGTGACTATTGACAGTGGAGGGGAAATCCAAAATTCTGAGCCGTCACCGGAACAAGACTAGAGGGGAGATTTTCCAATGGGGACAACTGTTCCGGTGACAACCAAGATGGGATTTCCCTTACTTTGGAGAGATTTCCTTCCACTTCCTGTTGTGTTTGTAGGACAGGAAGTGAAGGTTTTTTTTCCCCCCAAGTGGCAAAAAAAGGGGTTTTAAACATTCCCTTCATACAATGTAAAACGTTTTGGCTTTAGATATGCTTTAACTGTTCGTGAATGTCAGAGCTTTGCTCAAGTCAAAACATATAAGAAACAATCCGATAATTCAGATTCAGTAAACTTTTCACAGTGTTTCTGGGGCAACCGGCACCTTGTTGTCGCATAACTGCATGCTACGCAGCCCCCCTCCCAAAATGCCACCACCCCCACTACTAGATTTAGAGCAGGCACGAGGGAACACTGTGAGATTCAGGTCCACTTAAATAATGAGGGCGCTGGAATCCAGAGATAATTGATGCCCTGGGCACTCAGATATACAAAGGATGAATCTAAAGCTGGCCATACACTGGTCGAATTTGACTGAGAACTGCTGACCCAACCAGTGTGTGGCCCGGTCTGCACCCCTCCATCTTGACTTTTGCCGAAGGAGCCGGTTTGAAAATTTTGGGTCGGACGGTAATTACACCAATCGGCTGCACTCACCGTGCGGGTATCCTGAGAGCGGTACACCCCGCCCCTGTCAGAATACAATAGCCTGGGGTAGGGGGTGAGGGATTACCCCTCCCATGCTGTCAGCGTGGATGGAGGATTCAAGATTCAACGAGAGTATGGCCAGCTTGGGAAACTTTTAGCAGGTAGCTTGTGCCCCCCTCACCCCGGTGAAAACAGCCCTTATGTGAGCCAGCCCGTGAGTTGGGCAAGTCTGTAAAGACGACAACTTTTAGTTTTATGATATTTTCTTTTACTGCGTTCTAATGATTCGATTGAGAAAAAAAAATAATCAATGGATTATAGAGAAGCTCCGAAAAGAGCAGCAACCTGAAATCACTGCAGTGGAACAACACTGCCCCCCGCTGGCTAGAAAAGTGTACTGCACCTCACACACGGTTGCATTACCAAAGTTAATCAGTAGGAACAATTATTATTATTATTTTTATGATCATTTTTTGATTGAACGTACTCAGGCATTCAGTTTAAGCTTGGACCAAAGACGCGACGAGAAGCGACACAGGCGTGGTCGGATACACCCTCCTATTTCTCCGTATGCTGCTATAGATGATGTTACTGCTAAGACTGTGACACCGGCCTGCGGCGGTGAGCCGATGACAGAGGTTGCAGGATTCGGACCACTATGTTGTGCAATGCTGGACTTATTTTTCATGATGTATTGTATATTTATGCGTTTTATATATGTTGTTATTGTTAAACAGGGTAGCCAATTAGGGCTATCTGCCTCCCTGAATGGATTGTTGCTGTACAAGGAATGACATATGGTCTCCTCTCCATATTGTATATGTTTCTGACTCCGAAGGCTGCCCAGGATGGCCATGGTGGGGCCCTGTGTGTTTAGGAGACTTCTCCTAGAAAGGGATGAAATCCTTCCCCTTACAGAGATGGTGATCTGTGATTGACAGCTATCTTCAATAGGTAAACCAGGGCTGTGCGATGCCTGGACCCTTATCGGGAACCATTTGAGATACAATAGACTGCAGTGGAGGAGCCGCCTTGTATACATTTCCAGTTCTCGAAGTATCTACAGCAGCATCTCCCCCGGCATTCCGTCCGTCTCGGGAAGACTAAACTCCGATAAGGGCTCAGACTTCACAAAGCTCCGGGCTGTGTATGGATGATGGGACCGGGCACTATTTATATTATGGTGAATCTGGATGCATGCATAAAAAGTGAAAATAGGCCCCAGTAGGGCCAATTCACCCTTGTGCCTGCGTTACGCATGCCTTTTCCTGCCCATTCATTGACTGGGCGAGCAGCTCGCCTCCACCCACCTGCCCTAATTTTGGCAAAGCAGCGCATCACGGGGGGGG